TCACTGGACTCTTAAATATTAATCAAAGGGAGGCAACTCTTAATTAATTCAACCTTTCTTACTTAAATGCATGTTTTCTTTCACATCGTTGTTTGATATTGTACATCTTGTTAATATACATATATTTTATGTGTAACAATGTCTTGTGGTTATTCTTCTTGCGTGAGTCCTGGTTTCTTATCAATGTTAAATTTATGTGGTGAAGTACCCCACAGCAGAAAAGCGACAAAGAGAGATGATAACGAGCATTTTTTTTATTTAGATCAACAAATATATGATAAGCCGGATCTCTTTTGGTTCAAGGCAAGTGTTTAGTTACTATATAATATGGATCCTCCTATATGGCTGTGAATGCTGGGTAACTTACTTACAGATTAAGAGGGCTTACGGCCATATCGCGTTGAAACATCGGTTCTTGTACGATGACAAGTTAAGCTACATCGAACCTGCACAGTACAAAGATAGGTGATCGCTTAGAAATACAAGGTATAGAAAGCTTTGATGTGCGGGTGGTGTGATGTATAATTGGAAATCGGACAGCCGAGTTCCAATTCTTATCGCGTTTGATATATTCACTTACGCGCAAATACCTTTTTGAAAGATATTAATGAATCTCTTCTTTCCCGATCTAGGTGTTAATGAAAATTGTATCAGTAAATCATTATTTTTTCCCAAACCGTCTTACAATCTAAAAATATTTTCTGGTTTTGAATAACCTGGAAAATGGTTGATAACCCGTGAAAAAATCAATCTATCAATTATTCACAGATTAAAAAAATGAAAAATCTGAGATATCTTTCTACTGGAATACCATGGACGGAATATGTGACCAACGAGAATGTTTGAAATTAATTAGAATCAAGTATGAAATAATTACACATAGAATAATAAAGATGAAGTTGAAATATCTGGGACACATGATGAGGAAAAAGGGCTTGGAAAATTTGACGTCCACAGGGCATACGCAAGAAAAGAGTGGCTGAGGAAAATAGCGAATAACATAAATAAAGCGTTTAGCAGAACATAGAATATGCGAGATAGCAAAAGGACAAATATTGTTTACTTCAACAAAGGATAGGAAGATTTGGAGAGCCATGATATTGCACAGTCTGAACGGTCATGGCACATGTAAAAAGAAGACGTCGATGACGACTTCTATTACTTTTCTCGAAGGAGACGGAGGAGGAAATAAGAAGACTACTACTACTACTACTACTAATACTATTATTTTTCTCGAATATTCGAATTTACTTATAAAGTGTACTAAAACAAGAAGAAGGAGGAGAATAATAATAATAATAATAATAAGAAGAAGAAGAAGAAGAAGAAGAAGAAGACAACTACCACTACTACTTTTCTTGAATATTCGAATTTACTTATAACGTGTGCTAAAAGAAGAAGAAGAAGAAGAAGAAGAAGAAGACAACAACAACAATTACTAATACTACTTATTTTCTCGAATATTCGAATTTACTTATAACGTGTGGTAAAAAAAAGTTGCCTGAACTAATGAGCAGTATAAGTAATAAAAATTTTGCAACTACCGGTTTATTGGTTTACATGTGGAAAATAACCGAAGCAACATTTTTTTTTAATCATTTCAATCCAAGCTAGGCGTTAATACCACTATGCCTCAAGGGGTCCCTAGGTGTCAAAGAGAACGAGAAAATTTTTATGTGGATGATTAACAAAAGAACAATAAAGGAACTGTACTCAAGAAGACAGAAGATGTCGATTGAGGTTGAATTAAATTTTTGAAGATTGTAATTATCAGGAAAAGGGCGTTCCACAGGCAGCAAGCGCGAAAAAAGAAACTATTAGAGTTTAAGTGGCGGTTGGATCTAGCTAACTCAGCAGCTAAAGAGTGAGACCTAGTTGCCAATCGAGTAGCACGCTTAAATTCATGTAGTCGTGGCAACAGAGAAAAAAACTCATCAGAATCGTTGCCATGAAAATATTTGTAGAAAAAACAGGGAGGCCACGTCACGTTTTTGAGAATGTGACTAAAATTGAAATGCCTGGTCAAAGTCGATTATGTTACAAATCCTTCTTTGGATTTTGACAAGAATTTTGAAATGTACAGCAGGAGCACCAGACCAGATATGGCAACAGTATTCAATACACGGACGAATGGTAGATTTATAAATATACACGACATATCAGTAAACATAGCAATTGATTCGATATAGTCGCTCTGTTTCATGTCAGAGAAAAACGTGAAGCCAAGATGGCATAGAATGCTGCCCTCCTGAAGTTTAACATTAGACATACTGATATGATATATATATATATATATATATATATATATATATATATATATATTCCTGTTATCTTTTAGACTTGAAACAAATATTAGGAACAAAGATATGAATATAGTGAGTATAGTAGAAAAATCTTTTTTCCAATAACCTTATGGCAAACGTTTTTGTAGTTATCAGGGAAGCAAGGAAACAGAAAGAAGTTCCACAGGTAGACGTATGAGAAAAGTGTGAGAAAGGAAACTGTTGAAGTAGAAGTGTCAATCGCATTTAGCTATTTCAACAGTAAAAGTGTGAGACCTAGATGCCAATCTAGTAAAAAGCTTAAATTCAAGTATTAGGGCCACCAGGGAAAAAAGCTCGTCAGAGCAGTTGCCATGGAAATATCTGTAGAAAAGACTGAGGGAAGTCGCATTGCCTGGTCAGGATTGATTAAATTACAGATCCTTCTTTGGATTTTGTCAAGAATCTTAAGATATACAGCAGGGACACCAGACCTGATATTGCAACTGTATTCAATGCACGGATGAATGGTAGATTTATAGATGTGCAAGAAGGATTCTAACGAGAATTGACTGGCATGACATATTGAACCAAATCTCTTATCAGTAGCCAAAGCAATTGATTCGATATAGTCGCTCTATTTCATATCACTCGAAAACGTGAGGCCAAGAGGGCATAGAATACTGCTCTCCTGAAATTTAACATTAGACATACTGATATATATATATATATATATATATATATATATATATATATATATATATTTTTCCTGTTATTGTTCTACTTGAGAGAAAAATATTAGGAACAAAGAATGTAGTGACTATAATCGAAAAAAAAGTTTTTTTTTTTCCCACGACCTTATGGCAAACATTTTTGGAAAAAGGTTATTTAGAGCAGCAAATATGTGAAGCGCCACATCTCTTTCGGACCAAGTCAAGTGCTGAACTGTTGTAGAATATCGATCCTACGATATGGCAGTGAATGCTGGACAATTTCCTCACAGATGAAGAGGTGATATGTGTTGACAGACATGTAGTTCACGGAAAGATGCATAGGTGGCGCATGCAACCAACAAAGAAAATTTAAGGAAAATGCAAGCAAAAAACCATTTATTCATAGAATCCGAAATAATTGATATTTATAGTGTTATGTAATGGGTGGCATGTGAGAAATTTCAGAGTAAATTTATATTAGGTTCTTTTATAAATGAAAAGAAAATAAGAAAAAAAAAACAAAGGAATTTTAGCAACACAAGAAATCATTACCATGGCCGTATCCGGCCATCTAGTCGCCAAACAACAAATGTTATTCTGTGAAAAGCCTTTTAAAGTAGACACCTCAGTTTTAAAGGTCAACACGGATAGCAGGGGTATGCCAGACTTTCACGGGTGAGTGCTAGTTAAAATTAGACCGGGGATATGATCCGCTAAACAAATAAATAATGACGAATGACTTCCGAATCGAGATAGCTCGAGAGAAATCTGGTCTCTTCTAGAAGACCCTACGTGATTCTAGAAGCCTCTCAGGACGGATCCGGAAGTGCTCACCGACATAAAAGGCGAAATATAAAAGGAATAGTTTTGGGATGAATCAAGAAACAGACGAGAAAGTCTTCTGGCGATTTTATTTTTTCGCTGAGGCCGTTAGATTGGCAGGAGGAAGATTGTAAGCGAACCGTGCGGTTTGTTCCGTTGGTAGACCGATTTCGGACTGAATTAAGATGTCACCCATATAGAGGGGATTTTAATAGTCTGACGCGAGGACATTGTCGCTAGGCGTTTTACTCTCTCTTTCTTGGCTATTCACACAAAAATTTAAAAAAAAAAAAACAGGGAATAAATCAATTGACGTAGTCAATAAATTTGCGTCTACGTGTTTTTTATAAGATGCAGGAACAGAATTCAGTGTCGTCGCGAGTGACTACATCATGCATCATGTTTTAGAGCAATGAGTGGCATTGTTACAATAGAACACATAGATGGGATGCAAGGTTTGAGAAATATGGCAATGACTGAGCATCCAAGGAAATAGGGACAAAGAAAAAAAGTGAGTAACCTACCTAACGAGCTTGTGTAAATAATATAACAGACAATAATTGTCATAGTATAAGACAAAAAAGAACTAAGAGAAACGAGGATAAGATGTTGCATAGAAGCATGGTGACTCGCGTCCTGAAGAGACATGATAACTCTCGCCCTGAAGGGACATGATAACACTCGTCCTGAAGGGACATGATAATTCTCGCCCTGAAGGTACATGATAACTCTCACTCTGAAGGGACATGATAACTCGCGCCCTAAAGGGACAGGATAACTCCTGTCCAGAAGGGACATGATAACTCTCACCCTGAATGGACATGATCTCTCGTCCTGAAGGGACATGATAACTTGGCGTGAAGACACATGATAACTCTGACCCTGAAGGCACATCCTAACACGTGTCCCTTCAGGACACGATAACTCTCGTTTTGAAACGACATGATAACTGTTGTCCTGAAGGGACACGATAACTCTCCCCCTGAAAGGACATGGTAACTCTCGTCCTGAAAGACAATCAGATCAAATATTATGCTTAATATTTGTTCAGCAATTAAATATTTATTATTTCTTTAGTTGCTCTTCATTGTCTATTTACAATGGCCTGTTTAAATGTGTTGAAACTCACCTGGTCGAAAGCGGCCTCTCGGTGTGAGGTGGTGTATTTCACTGTCTCTGCAGCACTGTCCAAAGTCTCGAACTATTACCGGCGAAGGAGTGAACGGTGCAAGCAATGAACGATGGCAAAAAATACGTATCGAGACGAAAAGTCTAGCAGAACGAATGAAGAGAATTGACTAAAAGGTGGAGGACAGAGGGTTGGAAAAAGAAACTGCTCAGCGGCAAGGAAAGCAGAAAGATGAGCAATCAAAGTGTTTTGCTTTCTCTTCGCGAAACCGGATGAATGAATGAGGCCTCGTGGCAAGAGAGAAAGAGCTAATCGAATTAATCGGAGGAAGCAGCAGCTTTGATAGGAAAGAAGGCGATGGAAATTGAGTGAGAAAAGTCGATGATTAGCTGAAAGATTTGTGCTTCATAAAAGAAATTTAGGTAAATCGATAAAAATTTATTTGGAAGGGTTGATGAAAGAAAAAAAGAAAAATAATAGCAGAAAGAAAGATAGAAAGAAAACAAATAACGGAAAGAAAGAAAGAAAGAAAGAAAGAAAGAAAGAAAGAAAGAAAGAAAGAAAGAAAAAAGAAAGAAAGAAAAAGAAAGGATGAAAGAAAGAAAAAATGACAGAAAGAAAGAAAATTGATAGAAAGAAAGAAAAAAAGGATAGAAAGAATAAGTAAAAGTAAAAGAATAGCAGAAACAAAGAAAGAAAAAAAAACAGAAAGAAAGAAAGCAAAAGAATAACAGAAAGAAAAAAAGAAGAGAATAAAAGAGAGAAAATGAGTAAAAAGATGAAAGATAGAAAAGAAAGAAAGAACAAAGGAAACAGAAAAGAAAAGAGATGAGAAATGAATAATAGAAAGAAAGAAAGAAACAAAGAAAAAGAATGACAGAAATAAAGAAAGAAAGAAGTATAAAAAAATATGACAAAGAAAACGATAAAAAAAGAAAAGAGGGGGAGAGAATTGATCGACTCGTTTGATTTTCACGTGTTGTCAATCCTTTTTGGTTCATTAAAACCATAACAATATTCTGGGATGTAAGAATAATTATTCTTTGCTAGCGAATAATGCATTAACATTTTTTTAGTATAACAATTATTTTTCCAGATACAAGTCCGACTCTTTAACCCATAGTTAGGAGAGAAGATGAATTCATACATTTGGGCATATAACGATTCAGACTAGAAGCCAAACTCGGCTTTCCAATTTCCCACTCTGAGCCATTATCCATTACACCACATACCTGTCCAAAAAAGAATGAATGCAATTGAAAAAGAACTGCGTACGGAAATAAAAGAGGAGAAAAGAAATAGGAAAGTAAAAAGATAGAAATAAAAATAGAAAGAAGAAGAAGTAAATGAGAAACAGAAAAGGAAAAGTTAAAATAACGGACGAAAAGAAAGAAAGAGAGAAAGAAATAAATAAATAAATAAAGAAAGAAAGAAAGAAAGAAAGAAAGAAAGAAAGAAAGAATTGTCAGATGAAGACAAAGTAAAATTAAAGAAAAAAAACTAAATATATCGAAAGGAGAGAAAAAAAAAATAAATAAATAAAGAAAGAAAGAAAGAAAGAATTGTCAGATGAAGACAAACTAAAATTAAAGAAAAAAAACTAAATATATCGAAAGGAGAGAAAAAAAAATAAAGAAAGAAAGAAAGAAAGAAAGAAAGAAAGAAAGAAAGAATTGTCAGATGAAGACAAAGTAAAATTAAAGAAAAAAAACTAAATATATCGAAAGGAGAGAAATAAAAAAGAAAGAAAGAAAGAAAGAAAGAAAGAAAGAATTGTCAGATGAAGACAAAGTAAAATTAAAGAAAAAAACTAAATATATCGAAAGGAGAGAAAAAAAAAGAAAGAAAGAAAGAAAGAAAGAAAGAATTGTCAGATGAAGACAAAGTAAAATTAAAGAAAAAAAACTAAATATATCGAAAGGAGAGAAAAAAAAAGAAAGAAAGAAAGAAAGAAAGAATTGTCAGATGAAGACAAAGTAAAATTAAAGAAAAAAACTAAATATATCGAATGGAGAAAAAAAAAATAAAGAAAGAAAGAAAGAAAGAAAGAATTGTCAGATGAAGACAAAGTAAAATTAAAAAAAAAAACTAAATATATCGAATGGAGAGAAAAAAAAAATAAAGAAAGAAAGAAAGAAAGAAAGAAAGAAAAAGAAAGAAAAAAAGAAAAAAAATCGAAAGAATTGAAAGAATGAAAACAAAGCCAGATGAAAATTAAAGAATAAAAACTAAATAAATCGAAAGGAGAGAAAAAAAAATTAAAGAAAGAAAGAAAAGAAAGAAAGAAAGAATTGTCAGATGAAGACAAAGTAAAATTAAAGAAAAAAACTATATATATCGAAAGGAGAAAAAAAAGAAAGAAAGAAAGAAAGAAAAGAAAGAAAGAAAAAAGAATTCGAAAGGAGATAAAAAGAATGAAGACAAAGTAAAATTAAAGAAAAAACTAAATATATCGAAAGGATAGAAAAAAAAAAAAAAGAAAGAAAGAAAGAAAGAAAAAAAGAATTGTCAGATGAAGACAAAGTAAAATTAAAGAAAAAAACTAAATATATCGAAAGGAGAAAAAAAAAAAGAAAGAAAGAAAGAAAGAAAGAAAGAAAGAAAGAAAGAAAGAAAGAAAGAAAGAAAGAATTGTCAGATGAAGACAAAGTAAAATTAAAGAAAAAAAACTAAATATATCGAAAGGAGAGAAAAAAAAAAATAAAGAAAGAAAGAAAGAAAGAAAGAAAGAATTGTCAGATGAAGACAAAGTAAAAAAAGAAAAAAAAAAAAAATATATCGAAAGGAGAGAAAAAAAAAAGAAAGAAAGAAAGAAAGAAAGAAAGAATTGTCAGATGAAGACAAAGTAAAATTAAAGAAAAAAACTAAATATATCGAATGGAGAGAAAAAAAATAAATAAATAAATAAAGAAAGAAAGAAAGAAAGAAAGAAAGAATTGTCAGATGAAGACAAAGTAAAATTAAAGAAAAAAAAACTAAATATATCGAAAGGAGAAAAAAAAAAAAATAAAAGAAAGAAAGAAAGAAAAGAAAGAAAGAAAAAGAAAGAAAGAAAGAAAAAAAAAAAAGAATTGTCAGATGAAGACAAAGTAAAATTAAAGAAAAAAAACTAAATATATCGAAAGGAGAGAAAAAAAAAATAAAGAAAGAAAGAAAGAAAGAAAGAATTGTCAGATGAAGACAAAGTAAAATTAAAGAAAAAAACTAAATATATCGAAAGGAGAGAAAAAAAAAAAGAAAGAAAGAAAGAAAGAAAGAAAGAAAGAAAGAATTGTCAGATAAAGACAAAGTAAAATTAAAGAAAAAAAATAAATATATCGAAAGGAGAGAAAAAAAAATAAAGAAAGAAAGAAAGAAAGAAAGAATTGTCAGATGAAGACAAAGTAAAATTAAAGAAAAACAACTAAATATATCGAATGGAGAGAAAAAAAAAATAAATAAAGAAAGAAAGAAAGAAAGAATTGTCAGATGAAGACAAAGTAAAATTAAAGAAAAAAAACTAAATAAATCGAAAGGAGAGAAAAAAAAAATAAAGAAAGAAAGAAAGAAAGAAAGAAAGAAAGAATTGTCAGATAAAGACAAAGTAAAATTAAAGAAAAAACTATATATATCGAAAGGAGAGAAAAAAGAAAGAAAGAAAGAAAGAAAGAAATGTCAGATGAAGACAAAGTAAAATTAAAGAAAAAAAAATAAATATATCGAAAGGAGAGAAAAAAAAATAAATAAATAAATAAAGAAAGAAAGAAAGAAAGAAAGAATTGTCAGATGAAGACAAAGTAAAATTAAAGAAAAAAAAATTAAATATATCGAAAGGAGAGAAAAAAAAATAAAGAAAGAAAGAAAGAAAGAAAGAAAGAATTGTCAGATGAAGACAAAGTAAAATTAAAGAAAAAAAACTAAATATATCGAATGGAGAGAAAAAAAATAAATGAATAAATAAATAAAGAAAGAAAGAAAGAAAGAAAGAAAGAAAGAAAGAATTGTCAGATGAAGACAAAGTAAAATTATAGAAAAAAAACTAAATATATCGAAAGGAGAGAAAAAAATATAAAGAATGAAAGAAAGAAAGAAAGAAAGAAAGAATTGTCAGATGAAGACAAAGTAAAATTAAAGAAAAAAACTAAATATATCGAATGTAGAGAAAAAAAAAATAAAGAAAGAAAGAAAGAAAGAATTGTCAGATGAAGACAAAGTAAAATTAAAGAAAAAAAACTAAATATATCGAATGGAGAGAAAAAAAATAAATAAATAAAGAAAGAAAGAAAGAAAGAAAGAAAGAATTGTCAGATGAAGACAAAGTAAAATTAAAGAAAAAAACTAAATATATCGAATGGAGAGAAAAAATAAAAAAAGGAAGAAAGAAAGAAAGAAAGAAAGAAAGAAAGAAAGAATTGTCAGATGAAGACAAAGTAAAATTAAAGAAAAAAAACTAAATATATCGAAAGGAGAGAAAAAAAAATAAATAAATAAAGAAAGAAAGAAAGAAAGAAAGAAAGAAAGAAAGAAAGAAAGAATTGTCAGATGAAGACAAAGTAAAATTAAAGAAAAAAAATTAAATATATCGAAAGGAGAAAAAAACAAAATAAAGAAAGAAAGAAAGAAAGAAAGAAAGAAAGAAAGAATTGTCAGATGAAGACAAAGTAAAATTAAAGAAAAAAAACTAAATATATCGAAAGGAGAGAAAAAAAAATAAATAAAGAAAGAAAGAAAGAAAGAAAAAAGAATTGTCAGATGAAGACAAAGTAAAATTAAAGAAAAAACTAAATATATCGAAAGGAGAGAAAAAAAGAAAGAAAGAAAGAAAAGAAAGAAAGAAAGAAAGAATTGTCAGATGAAGACAAAGTAAAATTAAAGAAAAAACTAAATATATCGAAAGGAGAGAAAAAAAAAGAAAGAAAGAAAGAAAGAAAGAAAGAATTGTCAGATGAAGACAAAGTAAAATTAAAGAAAAAAAACTAAATATATCGAAAGGAGAGAAAAAAAAAAGAAAGAAAGAAAGAAAGAAAGAAAGAAAGAAAGAAAGAATTGTCAGATAAAGACAAAGTAAAATTAAAGAAAAAAAATAAATATATCGAAAGGAGAGAAAAAAAAAAGAAAGAAAGAAAGAAAGAAAGAAAGAATTGTCAGATGAAGACAAAGTAAAATTAAAGAAAAAAAAACTAAATATATCGAATGGAGAGAAAAAATAAAAAACGGAAGAACAAGAGAAAGTAAAAATAAAAGAAAGTTGAAAAAACTCTGGATACAGAGAGAAAAATGAAAGGAAAGAAATAAAAAGAAAAGTAGAAAAAAGAAAGAAAGAAGTAAAAGAAAGAAAGAACGAGGAAAAGATAAAAAAGAAGGGAAAAAAAGAATGACAACAAAGGCAATGGTTGTACAAACAAAGAGATCGAAGAAATAATTTTAAAAAAAACAAATAAAAACAAATAAAAGAAACAAACAAATAAACATTATTGAAATAAAGAGAAATAAATAAAAAGGACGTAAGGAAAGAAAGGAAAAAATAGAAGAGAACGAAAGCAACAAACAGAAAAGAAGAGAAGGGAGAAAGAAAAAATAATCTATTCTTGAAAATAAACTATTCTCGCACACAAAAAAGAAAGTAGGGTGACAGAAGAAAAAAAGAAAGAAAGAAAGAAAGAAAGAAAGAAAGAAAGAAAGAAAGAAAGAAAGAAAGAAAGAAATGTAGAAATAAAACGGGAAAGGCGAAAAAGAAAAAAGTGGTTATTATACAGAAAAATGATAAAGAATGGGGGAAAGAAATAAAAAATACAAGAAAAATGAAAGAAATAAGGAAGAAGACAAAACAGAACAACAAAAAAAGAAAGAAAGAAAGAAAGAAAGAAAGTGGTAGAAATAAAAAGGAAGAGGGTGTACAAAATAAAGAAGGAATACAATGAATAACAGAAATGAAATATCTAAGTAGAATAAAAAAAAAAAGAAAAAAAAGAAAAAAAAAAGAAAAGAAAGAAAAGAAAGAAAGAAGAAAGAAAGGAAGGAAGAAAGAAAGAAAAAAAAGGAAGAAAGAAAGAAAGAAAGAAAGAAAGAAGAAAAGAAAGAAAGAAAGAAAGAAAGGAAGGAAGAAAGAAAGAAAGAAAGGAAGGAAGAAAGAAAGAAAGTAAGAAAGAAAGAAAGGAAGGAAGAAAGAAAGGAAGGAAGAAAGAAAGGAAAGAAGAAAGAAAGGAAGGAAGAAAGAAAGAAAGGAAGGAAGAAAGAAAGGAAGGAAGAAAGAAAGTAAGAAAGAAAGAAAGTAAGAAAGAAAGAAAGAAAGAAAGAAAGAAAGAAAGAAAGAGAGGAAGGAAGAAAGAAAGGAAGGAAGAAAGAAAGGAAGGAAGAAAGAAAGAAAGGAAGGAAGAAAGAAAGAAAGAAAGAAAGGAAGGAAGAAAGAAAGTAAGAAAGTAAGAAAGAAAGAAAGAAAGAAAGGAAGGAAGAAAGAAAGGAAGGAAGAAAGAAAGAAAGGAAGGAAGGAAGAAAGAAAGAAAGAAAGAAAGGAAGGAAGAAAGAAAGAAAGAAAGTAAGAAAGAAAGAAAGAAAGAAAGTAAGAAAGAAAGAAAGGAAGGAAGAAAGAATGTAAGAAAGTAAGAAAGAAAGAAAGAAAGAAAGAAAGAAAGAAAGAAAGGAAGGAAGAAAGAAAGGAAGGAAGAAAGAAAGAAAGAAAGAAAGGAAGGAAAGAAAGAAAGAAAGAAAGAAAGAAAGGAATAAAGAAAGGAAGGAAGAAAGAAAGGAAGGAAGAAAGGAAGGAAGAAAGAAAGAAAAAAAGAAAGAAAGAAAGAAAGAAAGAGAGGAAGGAAGAAAGAAATGAAGTAAGAAAGAATGGAAGGAAGAGAGAAAGGAAGGAAGAAAGAAAGAAAGAAAGGAAGGAAGAAAGAAATAAAGAAAGGAAGGAAGAAAGAAAGTAAGAAAGTAAGAAAGAAAGAAAGAAAGAAAGAAAGGAAGGAAGAAAGAAAGGAAGGAAGTAAGAAAGGAAGGAAGTAAGAAAGAAAGGAAGGAAGGAAGAAAGAAAGAAAGAAAGAAAGTAAGAAAGAAAGAAAGGAAGGAAGAAAGAAAGGAAGAAAGAAAGAAAGTAAGAAAGTAAGAAAGAAAGAAAGAAAGGAAGGAAGAAAGAAAAAAAGAAAGGAAGGAAGAAAGAAAGAAAGAAAGTAAGAAAGAAAGAAAGAAAGAAAGGAAGGAAGAAAGAAAGAAAGAAAGTAAGGAAGAAAGAAAGAAAGAAAGTAAGAAAGAAAGAAAGGAAGAAAGAATGGAAGGAAGAAAGAAAGAAAGGAAGGAAGAAAGAAAGGAAGAAAGAAAGGTAGGAAGAAAGAAAGGAAGGAAGGAAGGAAGAAAGAAAGAAAGAAAGAAAGAAAGAAAGAAAGAAAGGAAGAAAGAAAGAAAGGAAGGAAGAAAGAAAGAAAGAAAGGAAGGAAGAAAGAAAGAAAGAAAGAAAGAAAGAAAGAAAGTAAGAAAGAAAGAAAGAAAGAAAGAAAGAAAGAAAGGAAGGAAGAAAGAAAGAAAGAAAGTAAGAAAGAAAGAAAGAAAGAAAGTAAGAAAGAAAGAAAGAAAGAAAGAAAAAAAAGAAAGGAAGGAAGGAAGAAAGAAAGAAAGTAAGAAAGAAAGAAAGAAAGAAAGGAAGGAAGAAAGAAAGGAAGGAAAAAAGGAAGGAAGAAAGAAAGAAAGAAAGAAAGTAAGAAAGAAAGAAAGAAAGAAAGAAAGAAAGAGAGGAAGGAAGAAAGAAAGGAAGGAAGAAAGAAAGGAAGGAAGAAAGAAAGAAAGAAGTAAGGAAGGAAAAAAGAAAGGAAAGGAGAAAGAAAGGTAGGAAGAAAGAAAGAAACAAAGTAAGAAAGAAAGAAAGGAAGGAAGAAAGAAAGGAAGGAAGAAAGAATGGAATGAAGAAAGAAAGAAAGAAAGAAAGAAAGAAAGAAAGAGAGGAAGGAAGAAAGAAAGGAAGGAAGAAAGAAAGAAAGGAAGGAAGAAAGAAAGAAAGGAAGGAAGAAAAAAGAAAGAAAGTAAGAAAGAAAGAAAGGAAGGAAGAAAGAAAGAAGGAAGAAAGAAAGGAAGGAAGAAAGAAAGGAAGGAAGAAAGTAAGAAAGAAAGAAAGAAAGGAAGGAAGAAAGAAAGGAAGGAAGAAAGAAAGGAAGGAAGAAAGGAAGAAAGAAAGAAAGAAAGAAAGAAAGAAAGAAAGAAAGAAAGAAAGTAAGAAAGAAAGAAAGAAAGAAAGAAAGAGAGGAAGGAAGAAAGAAAGAAAGAAAGAAAGGAAGGAAGAAAGAAAGAAAGAAAGAAAGTAAGAAAGAAAGAAAGAAAGAAAGAAAGAAAGAAAGAAAAAAAGAGAGGAAGTCTATATTTCTGACATGAGATGTAATTATTTACATTGTTTGTACTGTTTTCCTCATCATTGTTGCCATGTTCACGATGTTTCAGTCGTTGTACGCTCCGGCATTCTTCAGGTGAATGGAATTTCGAACTGAACCCTTTATTTCACCCACCGGGTTAGATTTTTTTCTACTTTCTACCGGATGTCTCACTATCAGTTATCTCCCTTTAATTCAACTCTCCAATTTTTCGGTTCACCTCAGCTGTGAATAACCGTGTAAAGATAAATAAAGAAACTGAATCTCGAATTTAACGAAATTTATTTGTTGAATACAATTTACGATAATCTGATTAAGGCTTATAATTAATATAAGATTTCTGCTTCAAAACTTTTGCCACTAAAATGAATGTATATTCAATGTTTTGATTGCATGATGATAAGACCCTCGTAAAAGGATATCCTATGAATGGACAAAATTGCGAAATAATCAGTAAGTGGATATATATGAAGATGTCAAATCGGACTGTTTCTATACACTAAATCAGCGAGTTGGTTTATAATATTACTTATGGCTGCTGTTATCACTTATTACCGCTATGGTATGAAGGCATACACACATATTCCCTGATTTTTACAATACAAACATGCATCTGTCAAGTTATTGATCTTGCTTAGTTATTGAATAAATTGACCCATCATGGACGCAGATAATCGATTCGTTATGTCTTGTTCAGAAGCAAATTCAACTATAATTTCTATTGTCTGGGTTTGGTGTCATTTTATCACTTAGAGCTAAAATATAATAAAATTTAAATTTAAAAAGTAAACTACAAATTTTGATAAATAATTTTCAAATAAAATGAGAAGCATCACTTCTTGACCTACCCCCATTCAATAATACTCCACTCTCACTCATGTCCCGTAGATTCAATTGTGGAATAGGCGGCCACAGGTCTTAAAACGTCAGGTGATTTTACCATAATTTCCTTAGTATGTAAGGATGTAGTTGATCGGCTCATTCAAACCGGCTTTGAAATCAGAGTTTCCCTTATTTCTAGACTGGCTATCAAATAAGGTTAAAGAGCCCAGGCTGCCCAAGTTTGTACTCCAAAGCTGAGTGGGAAAAGTATATGACCTTACAAAAACACCGAGCAGACCCTAAGCCTGCAACAATCCTGGTGAGTGGCATACCATAAGTGGTTCCTTTAATTGAACGCCTTCTGAGATTAAAGCTTAAGCCCGACCTCAAATGGAACGCGTATATTCGTAAAAGGTCGGATTATTGTATCACTCTAGAAAATACCTAACTCCCGCTGTCATTGCTTAACTAGATCAGATTAAGAATGGTGTATTTCTGGGCTGGTGGTGTCTAGTCCTCACTGTCCAACATCGATAAAGTTCAAAAGCGCTTACCGCAGCCTTGTAGATGATGAATTATTCTCGTCCCTGCAAACATTATCCATCAGAAGGAACGTGGCCATCCTTTCACTAGTATATCACTATTATTATAGCAGTTCGGACGAGTTCCTTAGTGTCACCCGCTGGAACCGTCACAACTAGAACCCTCGCGGGTTCACTGTGGCAAACCATCTTCATTCCATTCCCTTCCTATGATAAAAAGCAAGTTCTACTCTAACAGCTTATTCCACAAAATTGTTACTTTGTGTATGTCACGAGAGAGTGCTCCCTTGACAACTTGACAATCTTGGTTTCTTTAAGTCCAGAGTCAACCGATACCTATCCTATTCGTCCTCATAATGCTTTCTTTCACTCCCTTACAATTTAATTTGGTGACCTTCAACCTTCAGTGGCCCCTGTATTGGGATGACTATCAATAAAAAAATCACGCGCAATTTAAATGAGATCTAATTTATTCTAAGCAACAACAATCTTGAACACTATTTACATTATTCGGACTATTGTCGTTATCTTTGTCGCTATATTTATTACAAACGTTTCGGCCGTTGTACGCTCCGGCCTTCTTCAGATGGTTGGATTGTCAAACTGGACCCTTTATTTTGGCCGAAACGTTGTAATAAATATGGCGACAAAGATGAGGACAATACTCCGAATAATTTAAATAGTGTACATAATACTTCATCTCAGAAATATAGACAGATAATGAACAATCTTGAAATCCAACATTTTTTTTTGTTTTCATCTTCAATACAAACTTTAATTTTGCCGATAAACGCCTCTAGATATATTTATATTTTTTTAAAATCTGTCCAGTGAAGCATTTTCACTTTTATTGTTACATTATTGACTACATTTATTCCAATTTCTTGTAACACTCTTTTTAAAAAAAACGGTACGATAGCAGTTATCGGGTCGAAAACAGAATCGACGTGCCGGCTTCTGGTCGAGCCTATTTTGTTAACTTTTACAAATGGTCTTTAAGAAGACATGGATTTATCTTCCTCTAGTTACGGGCTAAATAGAAGAACGGAGTAATTTTCCTTGTCAAGGGGCGGGGAACCAGTCTATAAGAATGGAAAACTCTGAATTCAGCGCTCCGTAAATAAAAGGTTCTTAAGGAAGCAAGTTTAGGAGAAGGAAGAGTTCCAAAAGTTTGAAAATTAGCACGAAGTCATCCCAACTGATGCTCCTATTGATTCCCCTACGATCATAATGGAGAACAAGATTTATAACAGGGATAAAAAAAGCAAACAAACTTTTCGTTGATAACCTCTTGGTGCCTTGGACTAAACACTATAGAGTTGAAAAAACAATGAAACATCCTTCCTTGAAACATGTGTTACGCTCATCGTGAGACATTCTGTCGTGAAATTCTTAACCACCTCATCACAAGAACGTCGATGACAAAGGAGAGAAGAAATTTATATCTATTCTGCTATCTACTCTTTTCCGATTCTCGTCTTGAGGATAGCGGCTTGGATTGGGGAATCGGAGAGCCGAGTTCGAATTCCAGTCGAATCCATTACATTCACTTACGTGCTAATACTCTTGGGAAAGGTGTGAATCCTTTTCTTCTCCCTCCAGCTATGGGTAAATAGCAGGACAGACTGGGTTCTATAGCCTTGGATGGAAACTGCTCTAGGAGAAAGAAAACTCTGAATTCAAAACCTGCGGAGGGTCGTTTGCGGACCTTGTGGCACATAGTGCACAAGGTCTCTGTAATCGGCCCTTCAAAAGTGTGGATGGTCCTGCACGAAACCATCACCACTATAATCAAATCTCATGTGCTATACATGCAGGTTGGGGACCGCTTGTGAATTCCAAATTCCCATGAAACTCCAACATTGGAGCCGGCTCAACCCACCTCAGGTGAATGCCGTTACAGGTACAGGTAGGTAGGATTCTACACACCATCATATAACCACTTTCGACGTTAAGTTGGACTCAAATCGGTAATCATTCTTCCGTTCTTATCTTTCTGATTCCAAACGACATTTATGTCTTCTGACTTAGAGATGCAACAATAAGATGGGGTAAATCTAACTATAAGATAAACAGGAGTCCACTGTCTTTTTTCTTACAGTAATGTTCACCACGTACAAGGCCCAAGAGCCACAGAGTAAGAGGCAGAGTTTATGATGGTATGTGGAGAAGATACAGATTAGGTCTAGAATTAACGTTAAAAATGTAGTGAGCATTCCCTTGGGAGTTGTTTCCACAATGCAACGGTTCGTAGGAAGAAGCTCCTCGAGTTGAACTTACATATCACCACTGGAATACGGAGGGAATGAGGATGGTTCGCTAAAATGCGCGTAACATGTCGGGTCATGAAAAATAATTCATTATCCACTTTTGAATAAAAAGCTAGATTTCAGTTTGAATCATTCAGGAATACCGATACTTAACTCCTAAGTCGGTCTTAGATTCCCTACAACCTATAAGCAGGCACACGTTTGTACACAGGTACACCAGTTTAGTAATTGAATTGCATTGTTCCATTAGTTATAGGTTGGCCTTGTGGTTTATGCGTACACAATCTCATGTGCCTCATTTCTTGAATCTCTCCAACACACCGTGCAAATCCGCAGAAAGCTTCACGCATGCGCGAACCGTTCACAATTAAATTACTCAAAAGCGATATATAAACGGACATTTAAATAAACCACATTACCAATGGCGCTATATTGATTAGCCTATACTTCGGCACGTCTCACACAAGCCTATAATTATGAAACACCTAGTGATAATAATATCGTATTATCAATGGCTGTCGAGGCTAGAATTTTCAATTTTAATAGATGAATATACACGCGCATACACAAATATATATATGCATGTTCGTCTTGTTAGACGTAGAGCGGAAAATGGTGATACCGATATTCTTATATTTGATCTCAATCGATATATTCAATAAGATGCCTGTCCGCATAAATAAATTCGTAGGTTAATGATGAATACATATTTATTTCATTTTACGTCTAACCTCCATCTTTGTCAATCAAATTAATTCGACTGGATATTATACAGTGAGCATTTAAGATTAAAATTCTGATATAGTACAGATTATGAATCAAAACGTTGTGCGTATCGGACTGCTTCTATATGACGTGTCCCTTCAGGATGTTGTCGAAAAAAATCTCTCCACAATTTCCTGTTCTGTGTAGCTCGCAATAAATTTTTATTATCTCACCTAAACTTTGTCATGTCATTTAAGATCTACTTAAATTAAAGTTACGAAATACGCCCAAGGTGATACGCAGGGCAGAAAGCTGATCTCAACAACCTGAAGATTTATATCTAAATATGTAGAATTGGTAGAAGAGGGAGCTGTACTTACGCCATTTTTTCAGGAACATCTTCTATGGGTCACATCCCATCAGGACGTTGGCGTTCATGGCTCACCACAATTTTCTGTCCTTTGTAGCCCTTAAGAAATATCATCTTTTTGTTCTCTCTCCAGAACTTTACATCATTTACATATCATTGCGAGGTAGGTAATACGCTGATTTCACCTTACCTTCAACCTACCAGTTGAGTATCTCAAGCCCGCTTTTTTTTAGTATGTACCCGAAAAATTGCAATTGTCTCTTCCTGATGTTAAATATAGTTTTTTTTTTTTTTTTTTTTTTTAAGCATTTCACCCCAAGCAAGGCGGGAAGCCACTAGGACGCAAGGGGGTACAGAAAATTTAGAGCAAGATCAGATAGGAGTGATAGAAAAAAGGATGAGGGTAGTGGATAGATCAAGGCAACTGGAGATGTCGATTGACATTACACTTGAATAGCTGGAGATTATAGCTCACAGGGAAACAGGAAAAGGGAAGGGAGTTCCACAGGCGAGAGGTGCAAGACATGAAGCTATTAGAGTAGAAGAGACGGCTACATTTAGGAGTTTCGACAGTGAAGGGGTGAGAGTGGGATGCCAGCCTCGTGAAGCGCTGCAACTCGTGACGTCTGGGAACCAGCAAATGCAGCTCCTCAGAGCAATTTCCATGGAAGTATTTGTAGAACAGACAGAGGGAGGCGACGGCGCGTCTGTGAGAAAGTGACTGTAGACGAGACGCCAAGGCAGGGCCAACCATATTGCATATCCGACTCTGGAGCCTATCAAGAACCCCGAGGCAGACAGAAGGGGCACCAGACCATATATGGCAGCAATACTCCATGTAAGGGCGAATTGTGGATTTGTAGATCTGGAGGATCGACTCCGGGGAGAAAAACTTCCTAGCGCGGCTCAGGGAGCCAACTTTCCTTGTAGTGGACGAGGCAATTGACTCAATGTATTTATTCCATCTCAGGTCAGCAGTCAACGTGAGACCGAGAAGCCGCAGAGAGTTGCTCTCGAGAAGTTGAGCGTCAGATAGAGGGGAGGGAAGGATATCTGTGGGGATTTATAGAGAGCAGTTTTGTCTTCGAAGTTGCCATTTTCGTTTCTATTTTTCCTAGAACTTCGTCGTTGCTCATATGTTTGGCCCATGATATTCTCGGAATACTTCTGTAGAACCGCATTTCTGTTGCTTCAAATCTCTTCTTCATCCGTGAGAAAATTGTCCTGTATTCAGTACCATATGAGAAGAGTAATATAACCTAACAGTTCAGTACTCTTTTCTTTGTTTCTAACAAAATTTTCCTGTCTCTTAATACTTTGCTTAGCTTTTAGAAGGCACTTTTGCTATTCCAATACGCTTTCGGATATCAGTTTCGAACTTATATCAAGAAACACAGACACAGATACGCACACAGAAATAATAATAATAATAATAATAATAATAATAATAATAATTCGGAATTTGTATTTATTTATGTTTTCTGTCCCATCTGTAGTGGGAAGGGAGGTAAATCTACTTGAATTTGTACATTTTTTAGTGATTATTTCCCTTAATCCTTTTAACAATCGATACAAATAAAATACTTATTGTTGTGGGGTCCACCCCTTTTCATACAAATGTATAATACACATATATACATATACTACTGCTATGTGAAGACCCGGAAGACGAGAGCAAGACCGAAGAATCGAGTCGAGTCGAGTCCGTAGTGACAGAGTAAAAGGTTGTAGGTAACCGGAAGAGTGAGGGGTGAGGTAACAGCGTTGTAGGAGTCACAGTGAGCGAGCACGTAGACTCAGTAAGAAGTCATACAGCGATACTTCAATACCAAAGACTGTATATATATTTTGCTACTAACCCGTATTCCTGGAATTACTAACCTGCTTTACCAGTTTGTATTATTACATTATTTTCATATATTCATTCCTGGCGTTTGTTATTTATTGGTATTGGATTTCAACCCGGAATCCACAACACTTATCGACATTTAAACAAAATTAATTCCGAGCAAAATAAACCGTTTAATTCATCAGTTCCTTTACTACTACGTTTCTTAGTTTTATTTGATCAATCCTTTCATGTGAGGCACTCAGGTACCTTTGTTCGTCCTGCTTCAACTTTGCCTTGAAATAGGCTTTGTCGTCGCCGTCTTTGTCGTTCGGATTCTAATCTTCAGATTCCGGGAGATATTTCCATTTAATCATAACATTTTTAACATGAAATGATATTGAGTAAATAAGCGATTTATATAATATTAGGAGCAATCAATTAATCATAGATACGATTGATCGTCTAAAAATATAAAGAGAACGGATTAATTAAATGGTTCATTGGCCTCTATTCTAGTTGTGCATTCTTTGCTCTATTGAATCTAAATACAGTGTTTCGAGTATTATGTTACATTGCATCTCATTGTTAAAACTTTCTCACGTTTTTTCTCATTCTTGACGGCAGGGGTACACTAATAATAATAATAATAATAATAATAATAATAATTATTATTATTATTATTATTATTATTATTAGAGAACACAAACAAAATGTGCCTCCTTATTGATATGGCAGTCTCTGCAGACTGCAATATATTTTGAAGATCTTCAAAAAGCTATCAAAATACAAAGATCTTGAAATGTAAATCTCCGAAATGTGGCACATGGAAACATCAACAATCCCCGTTGTAGTTGGAGTCCTCGGATTAGTTGGAAAATATTCCAGTAGACTAATTGAAGGGATTCCTGAAAGCCTAAAACTTAAAGAAATACAAAAAAATGTTCTCACGTGTAAAACCCTAACCCTTACGAAGGGCTTTGTCTATGTAAAATATGTTTTTTTTTTTGTCAGTGGAAAATGTCATGACTATCCTTCTGGGCGGGACCCGGAAAGAAATGTTTACACACCAGAAATGAAAGGTAATAAAATAATAATAATGTGAGGCTCTTGATATCGAGTAAACCTCTCTGGTAGTATAGCTTGCTAATGACTGTTACAGCCGACTGGGAAGATACATTTCTTCGACACCTACATGGCAAAACTGATGTTTATACTGTAACTACGCTGAATAAACCTTAATTACAAGTCTTAGTGAGATCGCATAATCCGGCGTAATCTTGCATAATCAGTAGTTTGAACAAAAACAATATGCACAAAACTTCAATCATGATTACTTTTGATTTCCTGCTAGCTCAACCATCGACGTGTCCAAAACGTTTCGTCCATTCAATTTCACTCACAAGACTTTGGTATCGTTTTCATATATATATATATATATATATATATATATATATATATATATATATATATATACCAAGACTACTGTTTCAAGTGCTTACAGCTTTCGTTACTAAACACAGTTAACTGTCTCTATTTCTTTTATCGCTTCCTCCTTTTTTACCAGGACTTCACTATATTAGACATAATAGCCGACTGTATAGAAAAAGCTCCGTCAAAGTTACTGAAGATAAAGTTGGATGGCGATGTCTCTCCATCCATCTTTGTCTTCCGTGACTTTAATGATCACCAAGACACGTGACTTAAACATTCTAAATTTTTGATGTTGCCGGTATGCAGATATTAATTTTTTCCATTGCCCAATCCCTTACTCAAATCGTGGACTTCCCTCCTCGTTTCCCTAGCAAATCAGATCAACAGGCATCTTTACTTATTTTATTTCTTACCTGCTCTTCGCAACACAGCCCTCTTGGTAATTTGGACAAATTTATGGTAACTATCAATCTCTTCCGTTGTTCTCGCCAGCATGCTCGGCCGCCATAATACACAGGAACCACTATTCTATAACAGCGTGACCGCTCTCGTCACAACAGATGCCTATTCGTTGCTGTTTGTAATAAATGTAAGGAGCTAAGTCCCTGTTTTTTCGAGAGAAAAGAGCACCGCATAGCCTCTAACAAATTTGGCACTCGCCATCACTGGGTGCTCTGTAATGAGGTATTAAATAAATGCAAGTTCTCTATACCTATCTTCTTCAATTAATTTGAGGTGTTAACGCCCTCATCTAATAAAGCTGAATGCTTTGCCCATAAATTCTCGTTAAACTCTACTCGTGACTCATCTGGAGTATCCCTGCCTAATTCTCCACTTAGAACCGTATCTCTGTTGAGTGATATACATTTGAACCCTTCCGTGATTTCTACTATCATCTCTAACTTAATTTCCCACAAAGCATGCGGACCCGATTCTATCACTCTCATTAAGATATATATTCCCGAAATGCCTCCTGTTCTTTCTATACTGTATAACAAATGCCACGACGCGTCCGGCTTTCCTGCCCGTTAGAAAATCATCTGTTGTTCTAGTTTTTAAAAACCTCTGGTGAACGGTCAAACCCTTCCAACTATCGGCCTATTAGTCGTCTCCCTTTTTTTAGGAAACTCCCAGGTGCCCTAATCAATGCTGAATTGGTTCATCTCACATTACAGGACCTTTTTTCAAACAGGCAATATGGCTTTCGTTTCTCCATGTCAACTACTGATGAACTGACGATAACTAAGGATACTACCATATTCTAGATAAAAACGGTGAAGCCCGAGTTGTAACATTGAACATCTCGAAAGCCTTTGACAGGATCTGGCATACAGGTCTTCTCCACAAGCTGAACATTTACGGTGTCTCCGGACACATTTTTTAACTGATCGAGGCTCTTCTATCAAATCGTGAAATGAAAGTTATCCTGAACGGACACTCGTCTA